TCGCCACGTTGACGACAAAGGAAGCTACGAAAAACTCAGGTCAAAAGTTATCGATGTTGCACTTTAGAGTGTCGGCTTACAGCCACCCACCGGCGATACAAGCTGCAAAACTTTCTAACTTCTACTTACTTCTATTTGCGAAAAGATTACGAAATAGCGTTAAAAGCTAATGGTCTAACTGCCAGCTGGTCAATGCTCAGGCGATTTCAGCCTTGAGCCCCAGTATTATGCACTTGACTGCAAATGCATTCCTCTATACGCTTTCATACAGATTATAATTCAGCTATTCATTTCCAAGGTAGACTATGAAAATCGGAAATAGTTCCATAATTCCATTTGGTTGTGATTTACTTGTTGATGCAAATCAGCTTTCATTAGCATATCAACTGATTAAGAGCACAGCAGTAAAGGAGGAATGAATGTTACGGAAATAAAACGTCAGCTTATCATACCTATTGATTCTTGCTAAAATAAAACTTTCATATCCTTTCCCAAACTAAGAATCAAAGAGTAAGTGACTTAATTCTTGGTTCTATATTAAGTCGAACTAATAATAATTCACCGATTGATTGGTTAAGTGCTGTCATATCTTCTAGCCATCATCGCATTGTAACACAATCAACTGGCTATTTATTCATTAGGCCTCATTAGCTGGTTGCTGCCGAAGTGCAACTGCTGCAACAACAAAGGCAACAAAGGCAACAAAGGCAGCAGAGCCAATCAAATGTAATTAAGCGCGAGATTAACTCTAATTATAATGAATTAAATGCGACGTCAATTTGGCCATTGGGGCAGATGAAATTCGGCTCGAGCGCTATATATATATTTTAATATATATACATATATAGAATTGACTATTAACTGGTTATCCAAAGGCTTAAAACAATCGTGCCTGCGTGTGAGTGGGCAAGTGCGATTGTATGATAAGGCCTGATTAAGACCAGGGCCGCACGCGACAAGCAACGCGGCTCCAATTCCATTTGCATAATCAATGCATATTTGGCGACAGCCATAAATTAACAAATAGAATTTAATTGCATACTTTCGGGCGCCGCTGCAATCCCACATACAAATTAATAATTCATTAATGCGCATTAATTGTCGTGTGCTGCAACAGCAACAGCAACACCAGCAACACCGGCAACATCAGCAACAGCAACAGCAAAATCAAAAACCCGCAACAAATAGCTGCAAATAAATGCCATATGCTTATTGGCTCAATGGCTGACACCCAATCGCAAACGCCCCAGCCTGCCACGCCTCTGCCTACTCATTTTAACCAACCTGTAATCCAGCGAAAGGCTTGCAAATTAATTGCAGCCTTTGTTGAGTTGGCTAGCAAAAAAGCAAAAAAAAAAAAATTAATTTGGCTGAAAGACTTAAAGCAGCAAATTTATGCGAGCTCCCTTAATATTTATGGCAATTGATGTTTTTTTTTTTTTTTTTTTTTGCTATGAAATTAATGTACATATTTAAGTGTGAGCATAATATATGTAAAATAAATAAATATTTAAACTTGCTTTTTATGTCGATCTGAATGTGTTTACTTAACTTTAATTGTAAAATTTGCTGCGCTCTGCCATCAGCTAGCGGCTATCGAGTTTCCTCTCTTCCTCCTCTCTTTGTTAGTTTTCATTTTTATTGAGAAACATTTTAATTTTTTATAGGAGAAGTATACGGACTATGATGCTCTAGAATACATTTATATTATACTTTATATATATTTTATGCAAATCAAAGATTAATATAAATACTTATTTATAAGCAAAAATTACTTTTATTTGATGATTAAATAAGATTTGCTATTCTAGTTTTATTAATATAAAAATTAAACGTATCACGATTGCTTAAATGAAATTAAATAAATAAATTATTAAATATAAATATTAGTGTCAAATATATGATTAATTATACAATAATTGCACACAATGAAACTAATTTGTCTAATCAGCAACGCCCATTGTTTTTATTGGAAAGGCCTCCCACAGAGTGGAATTGGAACAGAGTGCACGATTGATGTTCGTGTAGCCCGATTGCTTTGGAGTTTTCGAAGGTCTCTTCAAACTAGAGGCCAACTACACTCATATATAAAGAAACACGCAATAAATAGACGGAGCTGCAATTTGGGTCTCATTCGATACGGCCCTGAGTTGAATAAGTTATATGATAAAACAAAATAAAAAATTTGACAAATCGAACAGGCGTCGAATAAGTCTAGCTCTTGCATATGTAATCTTTGTATTTCGCTGTGCATGTACATATATATATATATGTGTGTATAAGTGCATCATATATTGTTTTTCTATTGTTTTTATCATTATTGCTGTTGATTGTTTGCGCGCGACACAACAGCTCCCTCACCCACAGCCTCATTCATGCGACTTTTTTTTAGGTTTAAGTCTTATGCAAACCCACTCTGTCACTCAAATCAAATGACTGAGCCACCCATAACTCATATTTTTAATTAATAATAAAAATAAAATTTATTTTCAAATAAAAAGAGAAAATAATAATAAATAAATGATATAAAACTAGAAAGTTTTTAAAGATTTAAGGCAAAGGCAGCTCATTTGATAGTCAACTGAACATTCAAGCATTCGCTACTAATAATTAAACCCTTCAGCTAATTTAAATAAATAAGTTTCATTTTTGTATAGCATTTCATTGGCAACGCTTCTGTGCTGTGACCCGTCAAAGATGTCTGTGTATATACAACCTTTTAAAATCAGTTGCCCACTTAACGGCGCACAAAACAAGCATGCGCCACGAATGGGCGCCCAAGCAGCACACAGAGACATACACACCCACACACACATGTACATATAGAGAGACTGGCAGGATGCGCGGTAGCTGCGTTCCATGAATTCAATCAATTTTAATGCAATTTAAATTGCATTCTCTTGTGAAAACAGACAATGCGTGGCATCTACACACAAGCGCACACGCACACACCCACACACACACACATGCACAAACACACAGTCACATGCAGTGGCATGCACACAGAAATGCAGTTAATATCCACACTCGGAGACACACTGAGACGTGTGCACATTATGCAGCCAGCGCAATGCGTTAATTGGCGGCCACGCCCCAATGCGAGTAGAAGAAGGCTCTCCCGAGGCGAGGACAGCGCAGAATGCGCCACAGGCCGCTGTCTTGCAATGCCGACGTTTTTATTGTTTCAGCTGCCATTCACATTTATAGTTGGCACTCGTGTCCTCCTCAATGGCCGCAATACGCAACGGTCGGGCACATCCCTTGCGCACCGCCTCACACTTGTGCAAGTAAATAGCCGCATCTGTTGCACACGCAGCCCACAGCAACCGCCACATTCATATGGACGCCCTCAGTGATAGGCCGCATATCCGCTTACAATCGCTAAACTTTCAATGCAAAACAATCGTGAGCTGGACGTTTGTATATATGTATATCGTCTATTGCAATAAGTTCTCTGCACAATATACAGACAATCGAGACCCTGAGAAGTATACAGTATAATGTCATATATACATATATATCTCTTATTGAAAGCTTGGTAGTTCAGCTGGCAATATTTGGAGCTAAATTGGAGCAGAAGCATAAATGAAACAAGTTTAGCAAAAAGTGAATATTATATTCCATATATTTATGTCTATACACATATCAATTTATGGCTAGAATACAATATTCTGTTAGAAAGTAAAAAGTACGTTTAATAAATAGGAAAATAAATAAGAGAAGCTTATCTGTATCTGGCTAGATAAAAGAACAATTAATAATTTCAACCTTATAATTTATTTGAATTTACATCGGATTCTCCAGATCAATTTGAGGCTGTTAGCTCTATTAAGCGCCATAAATAATTTAATAATAATTATTAAAATTATTATTAGCTAATATGTTTTATTATAATAATTACGTATTGCACTGTTTTTGTATTTTTTTGTAGAATTCAATTGAAAGCCAAAGTAAATTTTTAATTTAAAGTATCATTTCTATGTATTTAAATAAATTATCAACTACAACCTGTGGACAGGTCTAATCCATTGCATGTAGCATAATATTGTAAATTCGCAGCGAGACTGAAAATACAAAAAAGCGGCTTAAAACTAGTGTAAAATTGAAATGCTGATTATCGCATTTGGTTAGTCTGTGGCAGTTCAATTTACTTTTTTATTCTCTTTTGATTTTATTTTTAGTTTTTTTTCCCTTTTTTTGTTTTTCTATAAGCAATCCCTTTTAATGTTTGCGCAATCCCTTTTAATGCGCACAATTAATTTCGTTATGCTTTGTCGCCTTTGACACGTTGCTGGTTATCTCACACACACACATACTCGCACACACACACACACGCATTGGAAAAATGCATAGTGTAGCAATTTGCTAAAATGCCGGGGCTTAGGATATAATGCGAAATCTGGTCGGCCCCCAAACTCGGCCGGATGTGCGTATCGAATAATCATTGCATAATTATGGACACCGAGCACTGCATGTGTGCATGTATGCATATAACATGCATGTTGCTTGCCGCGAATGTTGCAATTTGCAATTTTCATGCACAGCCGTAATTAAAATTATTTTTAGTTTAAACAAATACAGACCCATTCCAATGAGTGCAACATTTGAACTCGCATCGTTGACATAACATTGGAAATTCATTTGCAGCTGTAGTCGGCATACCCGAAAAGCCATCAACAAATTGTCAGTGTTTGTGTTCGTTAGCTGAATTGATTTCCCAAAAAATTGTGCTTTGCATTTTCATGTTTACACTAAAGCCAAAATGCATGTGGTTTCACATTTCTGGTATATATTTGATAGGGTTAATATGCACATCATCTGCATGTGCGTGTGCATGTGTGTGTGTGTGTGTGCACGTGATACGATTAAACCGACTTTGAATTTGGCATTACAAAAGCATGCCAAATCCAACCCAAATTGATTTTCTATTTTTTAAATTTTATTTATTTCATGCTGAACTCTTAATAGGCAATTATATTTGAATTGAAAATGTTTTGACATTTGGCTAGAAATAATTTACTCCAAATGCAGCTGTAATAAACCAAAACCAGAAATATTAGATAATTGCAATCGGCATTCCCAGTCGATTTCGTTGAATTTCATCAATGGAGATGTGAAAATATTGTTTGCTTCGCCTAACTCTATGTGGCTAACATAATTCTGAATCCACCTGCATGCGGGAATACTGCGCATTGAGTGTCCGCATTTTAGAGCTGTGTCCGCTCTGGTCACACTGCGCGTAATGAGCGCGTATGTAGATCATATAGGAGGTGTCAGATTGAGCCATGAGCCTCGGCTCGTGCGCGCTGTCCCCGCTGCAGTCGCTAACGATCAGCTCGAATTGGCAGTGGAAGCAGCGCAAGAGCTGCTGCTTGCCCCGGAAACGAATGTCGCCACAGGCGCTGCGCCGGCACAGGTGGCAGGTGTACCTGCAGCTGGCAGCGCAGTCGGCGACGAGAGGCAGCTGCGGCAGCAAGGACTTCGCACGGTAGGCCCTGAACGAATGACGACTATAGCAAATGGTACTACAAGCTAATCACATATTAGGAGTCCACCTACCACTTGCGCGTGTTGAGGCCGTGCGCCATTTCCCCACTGTAGACAAAGGCGGCTGCATGGCACATCTCGTGCAGCAGCAGCCCGACCAGCTCACCGGCCTCCCGGATATGCGAGGGGAGCTGGAAGCGTGCTCGGCGCTGCAGATCACTTTCCAGGCTCAGGGCACAGCTGGCGTGCAGCTTTCTGGGCGGCAGCCAGTCGATCCACTGGTGCAGGCCACAGTGGAAGACCACGTGGTTGAGCAGCCCGAACAGGGCTTTGGCCAGCTCTGCTTTGCAGTCGTCGAAGCTCTGCTGGCGATAGCCGAGCGCAAGGGGATGGCACATGGCAAGGGGCGTGTCCGCTGCCGAAACGAGCTCAGCTCGAATGAGTGAGGGATGAATGAGGTATTTTAAGCAGCTACTCACGGCTTAGAGAACTGAGAAAGTCATAGCAGAGCAGGTTCTGATCCTGCTCCTGCTCCTGCTCTTGGATTTGCTGCACCAGTGCCTTGTGCTCGCGGCAGAGGCGCGCGCGTTGCTCCTCGTCGGGCAGGTGGGTCAGGTCGATGGGCTCCTTGAGCTGCTGCGGGGTTTGCTGCTCAAAGTACGCCGCATTGAGGCGCTGCACATTCTCCACAAATAGCTTCTGCCTGAGTGAAGGAAACGACTTGAGTGCCAGCCCTATGCGAGGCAATAGAAGCCGCTCCAATTTCGGTGGCTCTGGCTTCACTTGCTCTTCGGCTACTCGATCGTTCTCTTGTATGTCCTCAAATGTGTCGCTGGGATTATAAAGTGGGCGAAGTGCTTTGCTGCATCCCAGAAAACTGTCCACGCGCCTTTTCAGCTCAACATCAGCTTCGACTGCAGCATCCGCTGCTGGCTCACTGCGTACAATGGCAATTGGTTCATCTAGGTCCAGATAGATCAGCAGGACAGATGCTTCTTCTTCTGCTATACTTCCTAAAGTTTCCTGCCCTTCGATCTTCACACGAGAGCGCAGAACTCGCTCGCAGCCAGATGTTGGGCTCATTTCGGATTGCGAATCTAAATTAGAAATAAAATTTAATAATGCCAATTCTCTCAACTCCCTTGGCTATACAACTTGCCCATTGTGCACAAATTGATTCTATTTTGATATTTTTAAATTATCAAATCTGGCATAAATGCTTTGTGTTAGACAGCTTAACGAGTAAAACTGATGTCTGGAATGTCACTATTTAAGTATTACCATAAATAAATCCAGTTGCTCCTTCATTCCTCTCTGCTCAGCGTTTTTAATAGCTTGGCCTTCCGGGAACAAGATGTAAACTTAATAGTGCAACCAGCAGCTATTTGGCTTATTAAGCAAAGCCTGCGCAAACAGCAACGGCAACGCCTTTTAAATACGCTCACCTGCCACAACGATGACCGCAATAGTGAAGTTTATGAGTATAATGGGTGCTTATTTCCACTAAACGGCTAATAGCACTTCAGTGTTGCGCTTGTAGCTATGTTGCCATTATTTATTTATGCTCCTGGCTTATCCGAATGTATATTTTCAGACTTTTTTATACGTATATATGAATGTCTGTGTGCATACATATACATATATATTTTAGTGCACTGCACTTAATTTAAATATGTGCAAAGTAAGAAAGGCAAGCAGCTTTTAAGCACCTTCACAGAAAAAGAAAAATTCTAAACAAAGAAAAAATAAATACATACATATATATGTATATAAAATATGATGCCATACCTATCATGGAAAAAAAACGCTCGCTTCCAAAAAAATAAAAATAAAAAAAAAAATAAAAGAAGAGAAACTAAAAAGAAATATGCCGCTGCACTGACTGAGAGAAAAGAGTGGGCGTGTGAGAGATGGTGAGAGAGAGCGAGGAAGTGGGAGGGTGTACAGCAGAAGGCAGAATGGGGCTGCACTGGTCAGGGTAGTCCTAGCATTATTTTGTATTACAGCGACTCTATGGCTGACCCCCGAGCTCAGCTTGTATTGCAATTTTTCAATTTCAAAAACAATTTTGCTCTGCCAACATACGTGTGGTCAAAGATAAGCTGTGTAAATATATATATATGTATATATATATATAAGGCGAAAAATAAAACTTAAAAAATAAAAACAACAAAAAGCGCGCAATAAAACCAAAATAGCTGCAAACCAAAGCGAACCGCAGCTCAAGCAGCAACTACAGCAGATCAAAAATGGCCAAAGCCAGAAAGGCGGCCAAAAAAAAAAAAAAATGCGAAGCATACAGATTCACACACGCACACACACACATACAGAAAACTATGACCAAAAATAAAAAATATTCGCTGTGGGTGGTGCGGGGGGTGGGTGGTGCTGATGGTTGTGCATGATATTGTGCAAAGGCTGGCAGCAGCTACCAGCGGGACATGCCACACAATGAATTGTGTTGTCCAGCATTTAGTACTGCTATACACACACACACACACACACACACACACACATACACATACCTATATATATGTATAAATTGAAAGAGAAAAAAAGGCGACCCGCTGCGCTCGACTCGAGTTGGGGCGGGCAAAGAAAGTGGGGCAGCCAGGCTCAATTGACCTGCTGCAGGACGTTGTTGTAGGTGCAGATGACTCGCTCACTTGGCCTCTTTATGAAGCTCCTTTTGATTTAGATTCCGTTTTCATGCCTCAGCATTTTAGTGGGCGATATCTGGCCACTGCGGCCTCCTCCACACAAAGCACATAAAAGCCATTCGTGGCAGTGTTTCATATTTCAAATGCAGGCTGTTATGTGAGCTCAAAGCAAAAGCTAATTGCTGCTCAATTAACTGACAAGTTCAAGTTCGTACAACAAATACTCGGCTGGGGGTAATTAGTCTACAGAATCTTGTGAATTGTGCCATAAACACTTGAATACCCACACCACGGAGTTGCTAATTTTAACATATACTGTTAGCCGATGTGACTAAAGATGATAGCTGTACGCCTACTACTTTGTCTGTCTTTTGATATCAAAATTATGTTGAAGGTGTTCTTGGAACATGTGGCTAATATAATTTATATAAAATCAAGGTAAATCTATGCTGCACTCGGATGAGTGAGCTGTAGCCATCCAAACTGAGCCGCCCCAAGGGCAACAAGTTAGCAGACTCGTCAAGCACAAAGGGTTCTTTACAGCAAAATCAAAATCTATATGTATAAAAAAGAGTTGTGTAAAAGTGTACAGAGACTTATAACTTGATATGTGCTGACCATGGTTCCATGGTTTTTGATTTGTTGGATTTGTCTCCGCCACGAGTAGGATTGTAGATCTTATAAATACTGAAAAAATTTGACGAATACGTTAAAAACGCGTTTTTTCCCTAAAGATTCAAATTTCCATTGATACTCAGTAGCCTTGACAACAGTGACAGTTTTCGGTCCTGCTCTCATATTATACAATAGTATTTGTTTGTCTCAAATATAAATTTGTGTAAATTATTTACATTCATATTTCTCGATTGTTTTATATTTTTATATTTTTGTGCGAGGGCAGTATTACTATTAATAAAAATGCCGCGTCCTAGAAGATCTAATCTTTCCCGGCGGACCCATAATGCAATTAGGCAACGGAATATCGCGAGTCAATTATCTGACGAAGAGCGAGAAATCGCCCGAGGAGAGCGCCGCGTTAGTACCCAGCAAAGAAGGGCCTTAATTCGTGCTTCTCAAAGAGAGGCAGCCCGTGAAACGGCAATAAGAAATGGTTCAAGGATTGATTTGAATCGAGCAGCGTTTCGATATGATTGCACCATTGACTACAGCTTGAATCGTTTAGTTTGCATTGGTCCAATGGACGTTGTTTGCCAGCATTGTGGCGCATTGAAGTTTGCTGGTGAAAAGCCCGGTTTGTGCTGCCTTAGTGGTAAAGTGACATTGCCATTAGTGGTCCCGCCACCAGAGCCATTGCGTTCCCTACTTTTCTAGCGAGCACTCAAAAATACAATGCCTGTTTCCAAATGACTTCATTTGGGGCGAAAATTATTGAAGAACACGGATATAACCCAACAATCGATGATGAGGCAATCCTAATTGTTGCTGAAAACTTGGAAGCACGTGATTATACTGGGCAACTACAAAAAATATATGAAACGCACCGTTCATATGACGCGTTAAAATACCCGCTGATGTTTTGGCAAGGAGACGATGGATATCACTTTTATATCAAAATGATTAATCCATTGAATGGTAAGATCAATATCATTGTTTTCATTTTAACTTGATATACTTTTTATTCTGTTTGCTTTTGGTACACAAAAAAAGTTGTCACTCTTAATTTAGTAGAGAGTAGCTTATTAGGGGTTCTAAAAAACAATTTTTACTGTATTTGTTTCAGGTGGGGAAACTACCAAGAAGGTTAGTTCTATGAACTATTACGCATATTGTTTGAGCAAAAGTAACTGATATTGGTGCGGCAGATCTCGAATTATAAGTTTTGTAACAAACTCGACTTTTTTTTAATATATATAGAGACTGTTAGGCGGTACGAAGTTCGCCGGGACAACTAGTATATATAAATAAATAAGCTAAATATTTATCTGCTACTGCTACTACTCTTACTCAGTAATCTCTTGTTTATTCATTTGGGAATTTTCAATTTATCTAATCCGATATTCGCAAGATTTCCACGTTTCCAGTGTTGTGCAGCTCTGCACTGATTTATCATGCAACTCGCATTCGGCTCAGAAAATCGATTTCAAATAGGTGCCACATCAACGCTGCTCTCGCGTGCTTAACTATCAGCAAACACACACACACACGCATGCAGGAATAAAAAGCGTGAAAGCCAATGGCAATACAAACTGTGCAGCATTTTGGAGCAGAGCTGGCAACATATAAAAAGCAGAGCCAAGACATAACTTCAGCTTGGTGCAGCGATAACAATTATTGCACCGACTGCTGCAGCTGGCACGCCCTGACCGCACTCGCAAATGCAACGGCAGCAGTAACGGTCATATCGACTGCAACATCATTGCCAACTTACCACATCTCAAGCTGCATTAATGCTTGCGGCTGACGCAATGCGTCTTAGTTATTATGGGCGTGGCTGCGGTGCAGCGTCACCAAAGGCAACAGCTGTCAGGCATGAGGACTTGCATTGAGCGTGAAAAGTGGTATTAGCAGTTGCTGTCAGTGCCAATGCCAATGCATTGTGGCAACTGTATGCTGAATGTACACTGAGGCAACAGGGCGTATGCTTGTTATGAAATAAATTACCACCGCAACGTTAATTAATAATGTCAACAAATGTCAAGAACTAATTTAGATAGAATCATAAATTTTAGCCACTAATTTTAGTTAATATTCGCTTAAGAATTACAACATTAAATTTTAATTTTATTTTATTTCTCGTTCTCAACTATTTATGCAAAATTGCTTTGATTTGTATCTTTGGCAAATGAATTCAAATCAAATCCAAGCGGCTAAAACAGTTTCCATGTGTTCGACGAAAAGCCTCAATTCGTTGAAGTTGAAATTCGTGAATTTTGTGGCATGGCAGCAGTGCGTATACTTAATGTGGCTTTAGCTCAAGTAAATTGACAAAAGCTGCGCAGCACTCAACATATCGGCAGGCAGGCGGCAGGAGGCAGGTGGCAGGAGGCAGGAGGCATGCGGCAATCGCATTCGGTGGCAACGGCAATAACACAAACCGCAAATCCCCAAGCCTCTAAAACATTTCTCAAACATTGCCATAGAAAGCTAGGCGATGCTATGCGATGCGTGGCGCGGCGTGGGGTAGCGAGGTGTGGAGTGGGCAAGGGCAAGCCGCATAAGCCGCTAACAGCCACAAGCCAAGTCGAGCCAAGCCAAGCAGAGCAATGCAAACAAAAGCTTTGCAACAGGAGCAATACAATAACGAAAAAAGTACACATACACACACACACACACACACACACACGTAGAGAAAATGGCAAATGCGAAATGCGAGCAAGCCAAAAGCAAATCAAAGCGAATGCAACACTCAATTGCTATTATCGAAAACGCAGAAGGCAACAACAATTGCAGCTGCTGCCTTTTCAAAACAGTAAATTGCCCTTTTCCTTAAGGAAATGCAGTAAAACCCTAAGCAAAGCTCCAACAGCGTCCTCCCTCCCTCTCTCCCTCTCTCTCTCCCTGTCATAGTCTCTGTATGCTGCTTCTGCTCAGTCTTACTTTTTATATTAAAAACCGCGTAATGGAGTGCAACTTATTGCC